ATCCTTTCAGTTCTCGGAGTTGTGTCTTTGAATTAATGGAAACGGTCCTCTGTAGTAAGTTTGTGTGCTTAGTATATGGGAGAGTGTTATATTACACGGACAAAGGGAAACACAAAGCACTGTCCTCGGGAGTATAGTCAAACACGACTGTATGTCCTTGGCCAATTCACTTGGACATGGACACCGAGAGTCTTATCGTTACTGTGATTGGGTTCGGAGTTCCCTGACTTTGTGCTCCTTGTATCATCGGCAAAGCGCCCGATAAGAGGCCAAGGTCCTATGTAACCCTTTCCAACTTTAGATTCCCTATGGTCCACAGACAGGAAGAGGACTATCAGTGCATTTTGATATTATCTTATTGTCGTCAAACACTTACAACAAATTTGGCACGGGTATAGGCCTATACTATGGCGGTTCGTAATTGAATTATTTTGCTCCTTTCTCTTGGATTCTGTGTCTGGGCAATGGTGTCGCAATCGAATACTTGTATAGGACTCAGGCTGGGTATACATTACTAAAGTATATGATGAGTATGAGCGATTTTGCATTGAATTTCGCGACAACACAATTTTCGTATTGTTTGTCACGTTAGCAGGCTGTAATGACATGAAATCCCGATGTATCCAGAATGGTAACTTCTTCGCAGAGAGTACAAGAAAATGTTTTCCTTTTCTTAACAAGCATCAACGTCAAGGTAACATCAAATACATGTATCTAAAACGTGTCCATCAAAGCATGTACTGTGGCATTTCGCATGTTTATCATAGACTTTATCACGAGTCGGCCACAGCGAGGTTATTCCTAACTCTTCATTTTTGGGAACTTGCGAGTAGAAATGAAAGCAATGAAATGAATGCTCATTACAAATTAATACACGTGTGCTCTGATGAATAATTTGAAATGTGTGATTAAAACTACCCTGATGTTTTAAACCACACTCCAATCATAAAATAGTCTGGCACCATTCCATTTAACTTGAGTCTACAATATATAGAAAAGATTCAGATTGCACGATCGAAAATGACTTCCTCGTGGATAAGGTCTATTCTGTCTAGTGGTGAGCGCCAATGTCTACTTGCCACTGATTTTTCTGAAACTGCATTATAGTTAAAACTGTCATTATAGCGCTAATCTAACCTTTTGAACATGACATCATGCTTTATATTTATGTATAGGCTATTGAGTGGATAGCGGCCTTACGAGGAATACTTGTATCAAGTTTCACATGCAGTATATATCCATGGAAATGCTTTGAGTCGGCCCTTTCCAATAGGTTGACACTGCCGTGTATCGACCGCCCGTGGCTATTATCACGTCCCAATGCTAACCGTGCATTCATCTTACAATAATCTAACACGTGCAAGGGCAGGGGAGGGGAGATGGGGGGGGGGGGTGCGCGTATCTAAGCAAGCCAGCAGACGACAATAATCACTGCGGCAATTCGATTCCCGCCAAAACAAACTGCAAATAAAAGCAGAGAGAAACCCCCTGTCCCATCGTGGCTCGCGGCTGTTATTTTCACCTGCCTCTTGTTCAGTGGTTTTGTGTACGTAACGCCTCTGACAGTGCATGTACACACGCACGGCATCGCGGGGGGAATTTGTGTCTATTCCTTTATAGCTGCACCCGTTGAGATGGGGAAACGATACGTCATTTCGATGATTAATTTCAACAGAGGGGAAAACTGGCTCTTTAATAGCTTTGTTTTGGCTTCGCCCATAAATAAAACCAATAGAAGGCGTCAGAAGTGTTATATAAAGCACGCCTACTATAGATCCATTACATGCAGCATCTATGAGTCGTATTTTGTTGTGTTATGTTAATTTATTAACAATAAATGCAATGAGTTCTACCCATGCGTATCATCTCTTGAACAAAAGCACACACCTCAAAGATGGCTGCAGTGCAAACGGTCTATAGCTCCACCCAATTAGTCTCCAACGGCTGTTGAAACGATTTTGCTATGAATATTAACTGCTGTATACTCCTTTGCCATTTTTGGATGTATGCTATGCACGGATGCTATAACAAAACTACCTTAAATTTCTGGTATCCGAGTAGGGCGCAAACAAATGCTTATGCTACGTTCTCATGTTACTGAGGTAAGTCAATACTTCGCAACAGTTAAAGCCAAGCAGTTTGACTACATCCTTTTGTTACATGAAGGACGACAAAGCCAGATGGACGCCCGAAAGTCTTACCATTACATGAACTGATGATTGTATTAATTTAAAATCTGGAAGCACCCAGAGGTCACCGAGCATGCGCGTTGAGCATCTCAGGCAATTGCTGACCTGACTCGAGTGGTTTATGGGTAACGCTGCTGTCTGGAGGGGGAAAAGTCGGCATCGGCGGAGCTGTGTTTATTTTGAGCTCGGGGAAAGACCTCGAGATGGTTCATTCTTTAATAGCACAATCTTCTCTTAGTCCTGGGGGACAGAAGGAGGGGGAGGGTGGTTGTCGAAGGACACGCCTTGTTTGTCATGACTCACGCAATGAAAGCGTCGGCAAACGTGCAGCAGGGTTGGCCGCGCGGTGTGTGTGCAAGAGTTCCATTTATCTGTTTGTCCCACACGAACTTTGATAGACAATAGCTCACTATATGATGCATTAGCAATCTATAGTTTTACTTTCGCAGATTCTTGAAGTGGTGGTTCCATGCTGAAACAAAAACTGAAAGCACAGCTATCTCTGTGGCACATATAGTCCTTATTATGGTCTGAACCGTGTTTTTTATTCCGCATTTGAAACAGTGCATTTACACTAAGCAATGCTACCCAAGATGGACAGTGTGTATATTGGAATTACTCCGTAACCGTTCGTGAAGGCAAGTGGTATTTTTAATGGTTTGTTTACTGTACGTTTCTGGAGAAGCAGGAATGTGAGCTGTGGTTATCAGGTTAAGAGGCCAAGTTCAACCCGTCACAATAATAGCAGGGGTCGCGGTTCGACCTCACAGACGGAAAATCGCACCTACCCAAGTGTGTTTAATACTAAATGGATTATAGAAGGTAGGTCTGGAGGCCAGCAGTCGAAGTACAAAATGATAATTGGCCACTGAGAAAGAAATCTGTTATCGTGGTGTCTAGGAAAATGCATATACAAGCATGTTCTCGTTAGAATCATAGAGCAATGCTTTAGCTCCATGTTAGAATAGCGTATACCTTTGCGTTTGTCAGTATCTCTTGTGGGGTGAAGGTCGTTACAGGTTTCGCCGTGCATTGCACGTGTTCGCAGTGAAAACCTGTGCAGTTGATCGTAGTGAAATTCCACATAAATTCGGTTACCCGACATAAAAAGGTTATAATAAGGACGACAAGTTGCGTCCCTCTCTATGATAACCCGAAAGCTAATGTAATGTCTGCATCCTCAATTCCTAGGACATTACAATACGTGATTGTTGTAGCTCAATGTTCTAGCACATTTTGTATTTTAGCTAGGATGCACCATCCAGGGTGGATTTGGAGGGGGAGGGCTGTCGGGAGTGGCTTAACACTCCCCTCCGCTCACAAATATCTACATCTATAAATGATTTATTGCAGTAACATGTCCCTCCTGATGCAGAAAATACCTGCTTGTTGCTTAGGGTCTTTGGCCTCGGTGCTGCATTCAACAATCAGCCAGCCCCCACCCCGACCCACCCCAAACAGATGACATGAAAACATAATAGCAGCGCCAGTTGAACAAACTCCTTCCTCCACAGAACACGTCTACTGCTTTACCAAAGGAAAAGAGTCGGTTACATCATAGCGCACGTGGTTCTCCCATGGAGGAATGGTTCTCCTAAGTTACACTCGCCGCCACGCAAAGCCTCTTCAATTGCACCCGTTCCCGTCCCACTGTAAATATAATAAACACTTTTCATATGGGTTCCAAGAATGTAGGTGATGCATCAACCACCCGTCCCAGTTCCTGTCACCAAGTTGCACCTAGGAACTCAAATCTTAACATTCAAATGGTTATCGGGACCAGTCCCTCGGAGCATGGAGCTGTGTTTTATAGCTCCATGCTCGGAGCATGCTCGGACCACCAGCTAGGGATGCACCCCTAGGCTAGCCGCTCGCGTGCCAAGCCGCCAGCACGTGCCACCAACAAACCCCCATGGGATCACACCCATATCGTCTTGACCTTATCTGCCCCCTACAGGCCAGAGGCCAAGCGTGCCCGATCCTTATCTTGTGCCCGCACGTGCCATCGTCACCTTGCAAAAGTTCCGTAATCAACTATTTCCCCCTCGTAATCCGGTTAGCGGGGACGGGCCACGCGCTTATACATGTCGGCACTTCCGACAACACACTTCCACCGGGGAACTGTTTACCACTTGCGCTGTTGTCGGTAATAGTTTGTTTGCTTTATTGTTCTTAAGAACTTTGCAATTCCCACACGTCCTTTGAATTGCACTTGTATGTGTTGTTGACAACATAAACATAGACAGTATGTTTAGTTTTGTGAATAGAGAAAGGACCTTGTTCTAAACACACCGGTGTCGTATGATACGTGGACTCCTATTCCGGTCTATTTTACCTTATACATGTATGATTCTTATCCTCACATGTGACCTGGTACTGTCCTAATTATTTCACTAGGCATGCGCGATGCAACAGATGAGTTCGTATTTCATATAGACTCCGAATTTCATGCTACACAGCTATGACCTTTGTGTAAGGGAGCGGCTATGTGCTTTTCCCTCAGATCTTCGTGCTTCCGTCCTTCAAGTTCTAAGTAAAACTTCATACTCTAAAGAACTGTGCAGATCTAACCTGGACACTCACCTTTTAATCTGTCACTCACCACCACCCACTTAAAGTGCTTCAAACACAAGTTTTGATTTCAAACACATGTGGTTCGCGGGACGATTCGTTTCCAAGAAAAGGAACTACATTACTTCTGGCCACTCTGTTTTTCCTTTGATAAAAAACACCGTTTCCTCTTCGGCCACTTTATCTATGGTAGTCCTTTAAAACTCTGCCAAGCACGGTGTCAGATATTGATTCTAACTGAAAACTTGGTGTGTGGTTGATGGGTAATGATTTTGAATCAGGGTATTTTTTTAGGATCACACACTTTCAATGTGACAGTGTTACCGCAGTTGCCAGCGTTAGAATTGTCATTTGCTTAATATGTTAGTGTTTACGTTCCGCAGAGAGAGTGAAAGTGTAGGTTTCAATTACCTACAAACTGTTACTTTTAATGAATAATAAGTATTGTTAGATGATATTTGCTTTTGAAATGTAATGTCCGAACAAGCTTCCACCTGGAACAACTCGATAGAAATTTCAAAGAGGCAATGAATTGTAAAAGTTCTTAACAAGTTTATTGTCTGGTCAGGCCTAATTTCACGGAGCTATTTTATCATGATATTGAGCTAGGCCAGAATGAGCAAAGAGCCATGCAGCACACGGAAATGTTGGCTGACTAGTTTTTGTTGCTTATCCAATCACAGACGTCTTTAATAACACCAGATCACTGATCGCTAAACATTCTGTTCTTCCTGTTCGCCATTCCAGGAAGCGCTGTCCGTAGTCTCGGAAGACCAGTCCATGTTCGAGAGCACCTACCAACACCACCACCAGGAGGTTCCCAAGACGTCTTCCGTCTCCTCCGCCGTCAGCCCCCATCACCACTCCTCGGCGCTCCAGAGCGCCGTCCAGAAGCCCAAGCTGTCCCCTCAGTCCTCACCGGTTGTCGACCACGGGAACACCCTCCCCAGCCCCCAACAGCAGCAGCAACAACAGCAGCAGCAGCAGCAGCAGTGGGCCCAGTGCCGACAGCAGGAGATCATCAGGATGAAGCAGGAGCCGGACCACGGAAGTCACGGCCACGAGGCCGGTAGCCTCGGCGGACGGGTGGTGGAAGCCGAGTCCCCGTTGGACTGCAGCGTGACCAAGAGACAACCCCACGGGGCTATGACGGAGGCCACCCAGGCGGCACCCCCTTACCCGTGCCCGCCTTACCCCGGATCAGAATCGGACCGTGCTCGCTCACCCCCGCCCAATGTCACAACCAACGAGAAACGGGTCATTGTGCCTGCTGGTAAGTGTCACAATCTCCTCTTTTTCTGTAAACTTCACTCGCTTGCCCACGAAGCGTAATACAAAATTGTTAACTTGAGCCCTTGCATTGTATTGAGTATAATTTGGAAAAGGGAAAAGTTTGTGCATACACCATGTACAAATTGACCCACATCAAAATTAGAAGTATGGTTCTGTAATGATAACTCAGAGGCGTGGCTCCGCATAAATTACTAATAAACATCGCGCAAAAGCTGGAGAAAAGTCAAAGCTTAAGAAAAAAATGCATTTTGGGACACAATCGTACCTTTGATGAGTTCAAATTCATGGGGTTTATTATATATTGTAAAACACCATTGCCTGCTCATACATCAACTTGACAAACTTCATATACATGGTGCATGCCAATGTATACTTGATTATATAAGTTGTGCCACAAAACTGCTCGACGCAACCAAGAGAATTTCTTTGTTAAATTTAGTGTATTTTTTTACGTCATTTACATAATTATTGGAGGAAATCTATTTTGTGGATGAGTCAAGCGTCTCACGGGTTTTGCCCATTTTATTTTACTGGCTGGTACCCTGATTTTGTACACGACTTTTGCATGGCACTAGCTCCATGGTGACAAGTTGAAGGTCAGTGACGTCACAATTGACGAATGACCGCGCTTGCACCCTTGTGTAAATTCGTTGCGATTCGAGAAGTTATATATATATTAGTCATGGTTTGGATGCGTCATGCTATTATCTCATAACGAAAACACAGATGCTGTTTTTGTTCCTAATATTGATTTTTGCACTATCCTGAACTTTTTGGTAACAGTTACTACAAAATAAATTTAGGAATCCATACACACGTCAATTTTGCATAGGCCTAGGCCTACTTAGTGCTATGTCATGAGACGCGGGCTGAGCGTTTTTGGTATATTTTGTATTATTCCTGTCCTGATATGCTCAGTATAATCCTTATATAGATGTCATTTAGGTAACGACACGGGTCAAGAGAAACTTGCAAAGTCGAGACAATTATGGCTCATAAAGTTATCGCTTATGAGAACAAAACAGACCACACTCATGTAGACGATGAATGTACATAAAAACCAGACAGTCATGTTTATTTCATTTATTTGATCCTAAGGTAAATGTAAACAAATTAACTGGAACTGGTGTTTCGTCATGCTGTATCATCAGCTTTTATTTTCGATTGCCGGTACTTGATACATGTGTGTTATTGCAATAGAAAATGGTGGTACCAGAATATTGCCTTAGTTCCAAGGATTAAGGCATTGAACCTGTGACCAAGTTCATTTAAATGCCGAGCATCCAGCTCTATTAGTATTTTTGTCAGGCTATACCACTTGGTTGAGGTAACACTATACATGTATTTTAGTGGAAGCTTTTGCCTTCCCACCCACAGCAAAACCCTCACGCAATCGTCATCTCTTAGTCTTATCATCAGACGCCTGAAAACCAACCGGCGTGCCGTGGATATATCTCATTATGCGCGCAGTGGCCGAGGAGTCTTTCAAGCCCGCCGTCTATCACCTGTCCCCGTCGCTGCGCTGGCGAGAGAAAAAAAAATGCCCGGCCGGCCAGCGCGCCGTCGCCAGCTCGGGTCTACCGATCAATGAAGCCTTCTTCCCCGTACCGAAGTTAATCACTGAGACCACCTGCCTTTCGCACTCCTCCACCGCGCCGACGGTCCTTTTTTTTCTCTCCTCCGTCTTCTTCTTCTTCCATTCTCCCAATCTTGTCGATGGGCCAGGCAATTCATATAACTTTGTGGATTTTTCTCAGCGCTCGCTGAATACACATTTGCGATTATGATCATCGTGGGGGATGATATAGAAAATACATTATTGCTGTGTTATATAGGCCTATACGGTAAAGCCAGTGGCTTGTTTCCGAGAACTTGAAATTCAAGACTTCGCTTCGGACAGGCAGCCGGTAATTGTCGTGCTCTGATCGGGTGGGCAATTTATATAGAAATCAAATGCCTACTGCTTTTTCTCCTTGTCATAGTTAATTAAATCACGTGAATATTTGCAGCTATTCCTACTTATTCCTCACACATGATCTGCTGTTTGGTGCCATTTTATCTGTCATTACACTTCAATTCATGCCGTGTTGAAGATAATCTTATCAACTATGCTTTACTTTTTTTAGGATTACTTTATCACATATTACATTCGATCATGAACTTGCATAACTGACTCTCTACTAACTTAATTCTGTCTTTAAATTATCCTTTTTTTTGTCTGCAAACGGTAATCGCGGCAAATTTCATTTCTTTGACTGCACTGTTCATGAAGAAAAAAATAAAATAATACCTAAGCCTTCAGTGTTTATATTTTTACTTGAAGAAGTTTGTTTTTCATGTAACTTGTAAGACCTTTGCATAAACTTTTCCCGAATCAAACACTGAACATATGCAATGATTCAAGGTAAAATTCACCTGATACGGATGCACGAAATTAAGAAACAAAAGTGTGAATAATTTCCAAATCTTAGCGGGACATTTTTTTTCATATATATATAAAAAAAAATCAAATTGATTTAAAACAACGAACTGATGGATAAAGCATAACATTCAACAAGCTTAGTAGATAAAAGAACAAACGAAAGATATATTTTAGTATGAGAAAAGTTTAGTCCCTATCGGGGCTAACCATTTTATCAGTTAGCCTACGGGTTTTTTTTCGTTATGACTGCTATTTCGCTTCAATTATATATAGCGATGTATTTAATACTTTCACAACTTCCAGAAACAAGGAGGAAAATGTTACATATATAGGCGTAATTTAAAATATATTTTGGCAAAGCATTTTTTATTCAAGACTGATTGGTGCATAATGTTGGAAGTAAAATATCTGGTATAAAACATCGTCAGTCGAAATGAAAAACAGAAACGGAAAGGCATAGGGTGGTCATTCTTCGGATTGTTTCTGCAAACAGGACGAAATCTACAACGTATGTAATTGTTTACAAAGATGAGCCATCCTAATTTTTATTTTCGATTTCCCTTTAAAACAAGTTTCCAGTTCTATTTTCGCCTCTTGATGACGATCAATACACGAACAAAACAAAACTTGTTGACAGTTTCCCGCCGTGACTCTGCAGCTTTCGGTACAATGGTGAGATCCTCCTTAAATAAACATTCTATAAACGGACTTGAATCGAAGCCCGGGGTTTTAACATGTTATCATTCATGTATTAAAGTAACGCCCTCGCTCCATAACCACAGTCGTGGCCAATTGATCTCAGAGCCCTTAGAGCCAAATCCCCGAGAAAATCCTTCACTGCCAAAAAATCCACCTCAAATTCCCTAAGCAAGACGCGCAGTCCGGTTGACAGGCAGCGTACACTAGGCCCCGGACTAGCCCGGGAAGACAGCCGGAAACGCCGGGCGAACGCGATAGGCAATCGTTGGGCAGGAAGGCTAACCCTTGTCCGGAACGGAAAGCTGTTAATTCGATAGAAGAAATATCGGACTTCCTCCCTATAAGTAATGTACCGAGGAGCGGAAACTGAGGCCTTATACCGTTTAGCGCTGGCTTGTTGTTGCTATACGCGTGTATACACAATGCACTAAGAAAAAAAAACGCATGGTCTTCAACTCGGCGTGACATTGCTAGTTCCTTTACTGATACGGGGAAGTTGTCGATTTCGGCCCTTGACGATGACTTGCACATTTGGAAAAATTAGGCCCGGTCATTTTGACTTTGCAGTTTGGACAATACAAATTGGAACAGTGCCTGGACTGCCTTCACAATGTAGACCGTATCTCGTCCAATCACCAATAGGGTGCAAGTGTAAAAGTTTGCATTCCCAAAACATACATAACTCAGAAACAATATTACAGAGGGGAAAAAACAACAAACAAACAATACGTTGGGCCGACTTTTTGGAGTTTGACTAAAGCAACGTCACGCAGGTTACAAACTGCCTAAGCTTTGATTTGAACTTATAAAGTAAGCGACGCAAGAATTATTTAATTGAGAAAACTAGAAAAATAAAATGGCAAAAGCAAGTTGATACGCAAAGTCTGCACAAAATGCTCGCAGTTTAAATTTACGAAAGTAAATCCGAAAGTGCAACAACTGAAGTCCATTATTTTCATTTTTGTCTGCACACTGTGGACGCAATCAACAATAATGAAGGCCAATAACTGTGTAGTTATGGCCTCTTTAGTTTTGTAAGGGAAAGAGTTGTGAACATCTTTTCCCTCGAAACCATGCGTTGAAACCAACGCGAGAACACCTCTACTGACGCCCATCAAGTTCCAGGAACAAAAACCACAATTTCATTTCGAACGATTAAAAAAAAAATGTTTTCTGACTTTCGTCCACCCACTTTCGATTACGAAGTCTGATCTTTACATGTCTAGCAGACCGCCAGGAAAAGAGTAATTATGAAGCCCAGATCTGGCTCAGGATTTATCCCCGCCGATTAGTGGGAGGGATTATCAAACAAGGTTTTAATCTGGTTTAACGCCGGAGATTTAGCCGGACGATGGGGGAGACCAAGTTACGTTGCACATTTTTGATAGTTTCACCCGCACGTCCGTCAGTCACCGCTGCGGCAGCTGTGTACACGGATTTAGATAAAGGCTTAGCAGCTGACATATCCAATGCGCCGGCCGACTTGGTGAAGTCTCTGGCTCGTTGTGTGCGTGGAGATATGCGATCTTGGATCAAGCATTAAACTTACGCAGGCTGTAAAATTGGGATCTAGAAAGCACTCAGAGAGCGCAAACCTCCGCCAAGGCTTAACAATTCCCCGCCATATTGTCAGTACACCCAAAAGAAATACTCTCATAACTGGTGAAGAATCCTTTCAAACAAATCCTGGATCCAGACCCAGATCCGGATTACTTCCAAAATCTAATCGATTTGTACTTGTACCAAGGACCACACCTAAACAGTTTTTCAATGCAAATCCGTCCTTCACGTTATCTTGTTAACAGACAAACCAACCAACCAACAAAATCCGATGAAAACATAACCTCCTTGGCGGAGGTAATAAAATAATCATGAACAAACAACATAAAAAATCCCATGCTTTTTGAACCGGATTTTCACACAACATAACCACACTGTAAACACGTTGGGCATAATGGGTTGATATGTAGACCAATGTTGGTCAACATATCAACAGGTTAAACCCTTGGGAAAATTTTTCCCAATTGTTGGCAAATTTTTACCCAAATTGGGTAATTTCAAACCAATGTTGGGTAAAATTATATTGCCCAACAGTGTTTTACCCATTATTTTTTTTAATGTTTACCTTCACTAACAAAATGTTACGTAGACCTTGAATTCATTCAATCCCGAAAATTCCATAAGTAATGTCTCAAGCTTCATGTCATCATCATCATGTTGTTTTATTCATGCTGACATTAACATTGGATGTATACATTATGAGTAGCAAAATTAATGTGCAATGTTGTGGTGGTTTTGCGACTTCAATATAGGCCTATAAACGGAATTTTTTTTTATGCATGTGCCAAAATTCACAGGGTCAATTTCCACAACCGTTGTGGGCACTGAAAATGACTTAGTAATCTTCAATTTTAATTGTTTAGCCCAAATTGTCGGGGAGACAGAACGTCCGTAGGTGTAATTTTTTTAAATGAAACTTTAATCTTTGTAAAATGTTACCAGAGGCCGGCCCGAGGTAGCCATTGTAAACACAGGATTTCCAATGCCTTGTTGTACATCAATCCCCATTGCCTGAATTGTTTCCTTCTCTTCCGCCATGGTGACATGTATAGGCCTCTATACAATCATAGAGCAAGGACCCTACGATACAAATGTACATCATAGAAGAGCCTTGACAAATGCTGCAGGGGTCATGACCTTTGTGACGTCAGAGGCAGATGGCATTCACATCAGCGACATGGCGGTCCGCGGGTGCCTCGTTGCACTTTAGCTTTCCTTCCCTAAACAGGAAGGATGGGCATCCGGGATCAGATCCCAAACACTCAAAAAGGAAAAAGAGACTCTTTTATTTTTTAATTTGTTATCTCTGAAAAAAACACACACAGACTTTCTGTATCGCGGACAAACACACATAATATAAAAGGAGGTCAAACCGCAACTGTCCCAACAGACAAGAAAATAAAGGACAACTTGTTTCCGGGTTTGGACAAAAAAATGACGGTGGATTGAAAAAACAGTCCTTGTGGTCGTCGGTTTCGAATGACAGTCATTTATTTTGTTTAAAGAATTAATGGTGTCTCAATATTTTGTAGCCCAATCGAGTGTCCAACACGAAATTGGAGTTACAGTGGGTGATCGAAAATTGAGTAAATAACGGATTTTTAGAAATTCCACTCCATGCAAAACCCCGCTGGATTTTTGCTACCCACTAACTGGGTGCGGTGTTGACAATGACCATCTGTTTTCCCATGATTCTCTTGTTTTTCTGGCAAAAGGATATTATTGTCATCAAGCACAATGTTGCGAACATAGACTTGAATATTGCCTACTCATCATTTATTCATGTTCGACAATTTTTCATTATATGTTTGAAAGAAAATATATTTTTGGTTGGTTCCCCATTTTGAATTATTTTAACTTTTTGAAAAATTCGTTAGGGACTTTTCTTTGAAACATTGCTATTGCATAGTAGTAAAATGTGATTCCCCCCTTTTGTTTTGGTTTTCTAACTTTTCCCAGTAAAACTTTGAACTACAGGGTGGTGCAAAAAGAAGGAAACCCACTTTTGACAGCAATTTTCACTTACTTGTTGAGCATATTTCAAAAATTCAATATTATGGTATTAAAATATTGATCTTTAAACATGAGTGGCAAAAAAGATTGCAAATGCATATTTTGTCTCTGAGATATGGTAGTTTAAACATTTCATGTGCCAAACCTGTTTGTCCACGGATGGCTTTTTTCCATCCGCTTGACTGAGCTCCGGAGCTTGATCTGAAGACAAAAAACACTACACTAGACTTACACGTGGACAACCGTGATTTTGGTGACTTGTATTCAAATTAGCATAATAACACTATTTGTGCAATTTTTTGAAAGATTTTTTTTCACCACGTATGGTTGAAGAGCTTAACTTCACTACATTGTATTTAAAAGAATTTAAATAAGTTAAGTAAGTAGGTTAAAATTCATGTCAAAAGTGGCTCTCTATCTTTTTGCACCACCCTGTAAAATGCAATCGCTCATTAACTTTTAAGAACTTATGTTGTCTGATAAGCGAATAAAGAGTTTTGGTCTTTGAGGCTTATTGGAAATCGGCTTGATGGAAACTGAAACGTGATCATGAAAGTTAAAAGGCGTACTACTACTGAAATGAAAGCTGTGCCGCAGGATAACACTATTCCTTATATACAAAACCTAAAATCTGCGGAAAGTAAAAAAAAAAAATTATGTTTCAGTCTTGAATCAAATTAAATCTCAACTTGAATTTGAACGCCTGTGTGGAATCTCTGGTGCTCACTAAGCATTGGCCTCAAAGCATTTAGCTCTAAAAATTGTTTCTTTTAGTATAACATATATAAGTTCTGATAGCATGGATCAATTTCAGTAATTCTTCTTTTTTTTCAGATGAGAGGAAGGCAATGCTCGTTTGAAACGTGCTTCATTAGATTATCAAATTTAATTGCTTTTAAATTAAGGGACAAAATAATTAATCTCGGTCACTTTTTTTTAATCACACTGTGTTTCACTAGTTCTTAGGCCTATTAGTGGTAAAAAAAAAAAAAAAAGGCAGGGGATTTTAAAACGAAAAAAAGACCGAAACGGGAATCGAACCCCAGACACAATTCCCTTAAATATTTTTCTCAATCCCATAGATCTTAAACTTAAAGACGATGTATCAAGTTCAGAAGTGGGAGCAGAAACTTTGAGAAATTCGAGAGGTTTAGAGGCCTAGTACACGACAATCACCCAAACAGGATTCGAACCCCAATCGTTGACAGTTGCCTTTTCTTTCTCTGCCCAATATAGACTCCAGCATGTGGACGATTGACCACGTGCAGCTTTAGGAGCAGAAACGCTGAGTAATTCAACAGCTAAATAAATCAGAACCCAAACGGGATCATTCGAACCCCAAACATTGACAATTCCCATTTTGTCTCCGTCTCCTCTGGACCCAAACATGTTGACGATGATTAACCACGCAAAGCAGTGGGTGCTGATATTTTGATAAACTCGAGAGGTCTTATATTTTATACACAACCACCCAAACGGATTCGAACCCCAACCATTGACAATTGCTATTTCTTCCCCTTGCCTCCGATAGACCCCAACATGTGGATGATTAACCACGCAAAGCAGTGGGTGTAGACATGTTGATAAACTCGAGAGGTCTTATAAACACACAACCACCCAACGGGATTCGAACTCCAACAATTGACAATTGCATTTTCCATCTCTTGCCCTCGATAGACCCCAACATGTGGACGATTGACCACGTGCAGCAGTGGGTACAGTGGGCGGTCAGGGAGTACTCCCTGCAGGACGTGCTGGTCAGTCGGTTCGGCATTGACGGCAAGCAACTCTGCAAGATGACCCGCGAGGACTTCACGCGACTGACCAGCTCCTACAACGCCGACGTGCTCCTCTCCCATCTCAACTTCCTCAAGCAAGGTAGGCCCTGATATTTCCAAATAGCGCCCTCTGTCTTTGTTACGATTACCGATAGATAGCGCCCTCCGCTGACTGCTAAGGTTCTCTTGGGGGAAACAAAATTCATGTTATGGGTTCACCCAAGTATAAAAAAAAATTCCCATTGACACCAGTGATAAATCCCCTTACTTCAAAATTCTTTTAAAAATACTCGGAACTCCCACAGGTGTTGAGTCTCCCTGAAAATGATGATCAACGTGTCATCTTTCATTTTCTTTTTCAATTTTTGGTGGGTTGACCAATGACATTTCGAGAAATTCTCACACAAAGAAGACCAGGCCCTAAATCCAATTATGTTTCCCAAACTTGAAAAGTAACCATATTTAAAAAAAAAACTTTAAAAAAAGCTAAATGCGCCACTTTCGGACCAAATTGCATCCGAAATGCTCAGAATAGGAAGGCCCAAGGCCAGGCCAGAGGTGCAGTGCCTCTTGTCTTCAATTCCCAAATTCCATGGCTCTCAGAACTCTCTAGTTTGAGTGTATAACTTTTATTCTTGAGCTCGGCGGACGGATTTTTGGCCTACTTATTTGGGTATACCTTGATGGATTTCACTGTGCTTACAAAATACGGAGGGCACCTTTTGAACAAAACAGCAAACTTTTCACTTCAATAATTCTTTAAAGAAGTAAAAGATATTTCTTAAAGACAAATGACAGTGGTACAGAAACAAACGTTTCAGAACATACAGAAAGAAACGTTGTGAATAACACAAGGGTGGAATGAGAAACACAAAGGAGTGATTCAGCAGGGAAAGTACCAAAAGAGTGTGACAGTAGGTGAAGATCAAAGGGAATGAAGAGAAAGATGGGGCAAGGGAAGAAACAATAGATTGAGATATAAAAGCCAATCCGAGAGCTTCAAGAAGATCATTCTATATTTTGCAGAGCAGAGTTCAAATACGACGACATTCGTCAAACAGAAATTGGAAAAAAAATAGTTCAACTTCATTGCGGGCTGACTTTTTTCCGATGTTACATTGAAAGCTTGTGCCTCATCAGGTATTGCTAAAGTCATCATAAAGCTAAACCAAAAGCATAACTTAAAATCACAGGCTATATTTCGCAAATAAAATAAAAATTATTTGTTATTCGCTTTAATTTAAAGCAAAGCTGAAAATGTTGATTTCACATTTTCCTAAATTTATGAGAGGGTGCAGGGTACTGTTTTGTTGTTTAAATCACAATTCCTTTGACGTCAACAATAAATCTGTCACCAAACGTTCCGGGTACACACCGGTAAATCGATCCGCCAAGCTCATGAATAAAAGTTATACCCTCAAAATATTCTATATTAGAGAGTTCTGAGCGCCGTAAAATTGGGGAATTGAAGAGATATGGTAGTGAACCTCTGGCCCGGACTTGGGGCTTCCAATTCTGAGCATTTTGGATGCTATTGGGCTCGAAAGTGGCGCTATTTTGCCATGTTGTGGAGGGATCGTTTTTCAAGATGGCTACTTTTCCGCTTTGGGGAAAATAGGGGTCGTCTTCTTTGCGTGAAAATATCTCGAAAAGTCAATGGTCAACCCACCATAAATTGAAAAGAAATTGAAAGATGACACATTGATCATCATTTTTCTGTGCAGCTTGAATACCTGTGAGAGTTTTGAGTATTTTTAAAAGAATTTTGAAGTACGGGCATTTAGCACTAGTGTCTATGGGAGTTTATTTGCAGGTATGCACCCTATAAAGAATCACAAAGATGGCCGTTTCGCGCATGCGCTGTGCCGCGGCAGTGGTCTTTTCAGTGGGCGGAACCTACGGGGAGGGGGAAAAAGTGTTTTAAAGGTATCAACAAGGGTTTTTTTCCGTAACGGATGCTTCCAAATCATAAGGGAGCAGTAGGCTATCACCCGATTACAACAATTGATAGTTGAAAAGGGGGGGGGGGGGCATTTTGAGCTTTAAAGTAGCTGGAACTCAATTTATTGTCGCTGGGGGCGCTCTACAGCTTAGCAGGGGCAAAACAATCACTATTTTCGGGCTTAATATCGACCTCGGATAATATTTTTCTTTCATTTTTTTTTTCAAAATATTGACTTTGGAGATATTCTGCTTGTCCTGAATGTGATTTTGTGTTAAAATTTAAAAGTTGCCTGCTATTATAGGGTACACACCGGTAAATCGATCCGCCAAGCTCATGAATAAAAGTTATACCCTCAAAATATTCTATATTAGAGAGTTCTGAGCGCCGTAAAATTGGGGAATTGAAGAGATATGGTAGTGAACCTCTGGCCCGGACTTGGGGCTTCCAATTCTGAGCATTTTGGATGCTATTGGGCTCGAAAGTGGCGCTATTTTGCCATGTTGTGGAGGGATCGTTTTTCAAGATGGCTACTTTTCCGCTTTGGGGAAAATAGGGGTCGTCTTCTTTGCGTGAAAATATCTCGAAAAGTCAATGGTCAACCCACCATAAATTGAAAAGAAATTGAAAGATGACACATTGATCATCATTTTTCTGTGCAGCTTGAATACCTGTGAGAGTTTTGAGTATTTTTAAAAGAATTTTGAAGTACGGGCATTTAGCACTAGTGTCTATGGGAGTTTATTTGCAGGTATGCACCCTTCCACACACACAAGATATTGGTCTCCTGTGTAAAGTGAATAGCGCCCTCAGTGCACTGGCCTCATCCAGTGGAGAGTCCGGTTCCATCTGCATGTTAGAGAGCCGCGCGTGATACGCTGTGTTGTAGCCTACAGTTACTGATGCTCTTTGCGATTTACGGGATTTTTGTGACAGTTCTGTTCCAATAACAACGGCGTAACGTTAAAACGGCGGTGAAACTCACGGGGCAAAGTCTACATAACCCGCAGTTCAACCCTTGGTTTTAAATGGCCCGTAGTCCTACATGGCTATATTTGTTTGAAAAGTCTATAAAAAGGGCTAGAACCCGGCAGAAGAATCGCCTCTTGAGCAAGTCAATTTCTGCGATAGCTTCGCCCACGTCACGTTGAATAGGTGTGATAGAGGACACGCTCATGATTATAACGTGGCGGATAACTATGTCTTATGTTTGTGTTAAAACCATGCGATAAGGCCGGTTCGGACCTCATGCGGAAGAGAAAGTTTAGCAAAATTTAAGACGTCAATAATCATTGAAGTTTCATTGGGGCGTTCGCCGTTATACCCTAATGAAGTCCACTTCGCATTGAAGCACGAGCCGGGCCAACCGGTCTTTAAGCATTGAGACGTCTGGATTCACTGCGATGACTGCGCAACTTCTGGGAGCAAATCGTGGTGCTTCTTGCTATTAATGGTCAAAGGGAACAGTTGAGATTCTGACAGGAAAAGTCAGGGGAATAGAGTTTCCAGTCCCTATATCGAGAGGTGACCGTCAGCTACCGCCTACACACCGCCCATCTCCGTTACTTGCCTTGCTGTTCCTCTAAACTAACTCCAGATGCTGAAGGGGATGTGCCGCAAGGTGCACAACACGAAGGGTACTATCACGTGAAACTTGGTGTGAGGGGGTGCCGGATCGTCATGATTATTTTCAACCATTCCCCCCCCCCCCTCCCCTGTCCTTACACGTGCATTGCTTGCCAGCACTGAGGGTCTCCTTATGTGACCAAGGGCCCAGGGGGAAAGTAAGGGGTTGGTTGGGCGGGGGAGAGCTATGTTCCAAGGGTGGGGATCTAACATCCACTGCCCACACATTTTGCACAGCTGAATGGAAAAAAAAAACACTTTACAGTTGCACTTTTCATAGTCGCGATCTACAGGGTGACCCAAAACATGCATCTCAGACCACTAACAGACATCTTTAAATTTCTCAAAAAGTATCGCACATCAGCATTTCATGTTGATGGAGTATAATCGTTTGTACTATTGTGTATACTCACAGCGAACATTTGATGGAAATCCATTCATGCAAACCAGAAATACAATATACTATAAATGGCAATGTGTTTTTGACCTGTTCCAATGTGATTTACACAGTTGAAAAGACGCATTGCAGAGTGCCGGTTGAGCGATTTCCAATGCAATGTGTAATTCCCATTGGAATGGTTGAAAACACATTATAATCTGTTAAAGCTCTGGTTTGCATGAATGGGTTTCCATGACATTTTCACTGATTATTCACAAGAGTATAATGAATACGCTCCATCAAAATGAAATACTCATGTTAGGTACTTTTTAAGAAATTTAACGATGTCTGCTCGCACATTTTTTTGGGAGGTCACCCTGTACAAGCGATTTCAATTTTCCCAAAAGCTTAACGTCTAAAGCTATTGTGAACATCAAATTCACTGGACTGATTTTGGGATACAGTTTATTTCCCAAGGTCGTGGCTATGAATGGCCTGCGTTTCCTCCTCTCGTTATATAAGACTTGACGTTGATAGATAGCCCTGGACAACCTTCATGTCAAAAAAACAACGCTTCATCGAACCACTCTGCCTCATCAGGGCAGTGAGTGTTAAATTCTACATTAGGCTATACAGTGATAGCGCCCCCGTGTGTCGAAAACATACGATGAACAATTTTGTGTTCGATTTTAAGTTTAAAGGTACTTGATTGCACTGAGACTTATCAGAGACATGGGGAACGAAAAAAAACATCGATTCTGCAGTATTTTCTTTTTGCTTCGGTTTAAATTTCAAATTGTGGGGAGTGTGGCCTAGTGGTTAGGGTTCGGGACTTATTATCAGAGGGTGAGGGGTTTGAATCAGGCTGCTGGTCATATGTTGTGTCCTTGGGCAAGCCACTTCACCCCCACTTGCCTCTCTCCACCCAGGAGTATAAATGGGTACCGGCATTAGCTGGGTAGTAACCTTCGATGGACTACAGGGGGAGTAGAAATATTCTCAGTCGTTTCATGCTACTGAAACCGGAGCTTAACGCCGGCCCGCTGGGCCGCATTGGCTCGTCACAGACTTTACACTTTACTTTTTTTTTTACTTAACATTCAAAATATGTAGGTGTTTTGAAGGAGAGTGTGTGATCACCAAGAGTCGATGT